CTAGTGGCAGAGCTGGGCAGTGCCCTTCTTAGCTCATTGCCTCTCCTTCACTTTGTCACTTTCCTGGGATGTAAGACTTGATGTTACAGTTGGGGACCCAAGGATCCCAGAGTGCAGTCTTGGGCTTGTTTTGTCATTGGCCTCAGGAGTGCAGTAGATATGGAAGGCATAGCTTCTTGGCCCTCTCTTTTTAGAGGCTGATAACTCATTTCAGTCTGAAGAACCTTATGGGCAGTTAAAGTTTCTTTTTAATATTTAGAATTATATCATGTGCATGTTGTCTGTGCAGCACGTGCAGGCTTGGTGTCCACGGAGGTCAGAGCACAGGCTCGCTGGAACTGGAGTTATTAATGGCTGTAATTAATGGATCAGCATGGGTGCTGGATCCTCTACAGGAGCAGCCCGGACCCTTTTTAGACTGTTGAGTCACCTCTCCAGTCCCGCTAAGCAATTAAAAAACAGATTTTATTTTTTGGAGCTGATGAGATGGCTCAGTAATAAATGTACCTGCCACACCAAGCTTGAGAACCTGAGTTCAATCCCTGGAGCCTGCATCCTGGAAGGAGAGAACCAAACCTGCAAATTGTTCTCAGATCTCCACATGGATGCTATGACACATGCATGCCCATATTCTTATACCTATACATGTACACACACACAGAGAGAAATATTATAGAAAGGGTAGTTTTATTTTTAACTCTCTGCATGTGTGTATGTGTGTGTTTGCGTGTGTGCTTGCATGTGTGCAGGCAGGTGTAGCAGGCCAGACTCCCTGGAGCTGGAGCTGGAGCTGGAGCTGGAGCTGGAGCTGGAGCTGGAGCTGGAGGTATAGTCAGTTGTGAGCTGCCCAATAAGTGTGATGGGATCTGGTCCTCAGGATGGCAGTATGAACTTTTAACTACTGAGCCATCTCAAGTCTCCTTTCTGGCCTCTAAATCTGGCATGCTATATATTAAATTCTTTTGAGCTGTCTCTGCCCTGTTCTCATTTCTAGATAAACTGTTCAAAAGCACTTTCTTCTAGAAGTTCTAGAGCATCGTTCCCCCATCATTTTCAGAAGATTAAGTGTCCTTGCCTCTACTCTTCCTTTCCACCCCGCTCCCCAGCCCCATGTTGCAGTCAGCCCAAGGCCTTAGCCTCACTAGACAGGTGCATCACTGCCAAGCTGTACCCACAGTCTTTGGGCTTTATTATTTTAGACAGACTCTTGCTGTTACCCAGGCTGATCTTGAACTAATGATTCTCTTGCCCAAATGCAGGGATTACAGATGTGAGCCACTGGCTTTCAGATGAAGACTTTGCACTGCTCTCCAAACTGCTAATTTTGTCTTTCCCCAGTTTACATGGTAGTGTTGCTAACTCTTAAAGAACTTGTATCCTCTCGAAGTAATCATCTAAGTATGTGTGTCTGCCACATGCGTCTGTCTGTGAATTACCTCATTTAGGCAGCTCTTGCTGGGAATTTCGACTGTGGCAGTGATTTGGGAACAACTGCTCACTAGCTCTGGGAACAAAGGAGATACATATAATCAGTGTGTGTGATACATGCTTTGTATCGTTCCCATTTAAATGAGATCTGGAAATAAAGCGCTTTCTCTCTGAGCTAATTGTGAAACTGAAACCCAGGAAAGAAGCTGCTATGCTTTACTACGACCATTAAGAACATGATTTACTGTAGATGCAGTGTGTGGAACTGTATTAAAGGGCAGTGGTAATGACTTTGCATCTGGTCCCCTTGCTGAGCTGCAGTGTTCTGGCTTCTGCATCCTGTGTGTTGCAGGCCTGAGCTCTAAGTTTACCTGTGAGGAGATGCTCTGTGCGGTCTTCTCGAGACTTTCTCACCCTTCCCTTGTTACCTTTCCCTGGCTGTATGTCTCCCTAAAAAAACAAATTGAAACAAAGAATTGTTTTCCTTGTTATTCAAGTAATTCCTCACTTATGCAAAGTGGGTGCTGAGGTTGATGTCCAACCTCTTAAGGGACATCAGGCCTTGCCCCCTGTGCTCAATATCAGGCTCCTGGCTGTTAGCCCACCAGGCTCAGGGGGACTGTGACTTTTTCAGCCACCTTTCCTAGTTCTCTAGTGCTGCTTTACTGTTGACAAGTAAGATTAGTTAAAAAAACCATTCTCTGAGCAAATGAGGCTGCCCCCAGAGAAGAAATTAGCTGCTTTGCGTAAGCATCACAGACTTTATGCATGTTCTGAGGACAGTAAGCCTAATTTTCAAAGACATAAATCCACATATGTATTTCTTCTGATTTCTTCTCTTACAGGCTACGCACTGCTGAGCTAAACTGCTGGTTCTCCTACTGAGTTGACGAGCAGCCTCAGTTTGTGCCAATTAAGGAAAAATTTCTTTGACTTTAAACAAAAAGGAAGGGAAAGTCAGATTCTGTTAAACCACAAAGAATCCACATACTCTCCTCTGCTCAGTGTATCCCCTAAGCCCAGAGAACGTGCATTTTGTCGTGTATTCAAAGCATCCCAGAAGAGCTAGTGGAATCGCCCCTCTCTGCAACAAGGACAGTTATGCAACCTGAGTCCGAATAGTTAAGTAAACAGTGTCCTAAGAGTTCAGAAACACGGGTAGTATGCAAACATCAAGGAGAGTGCTTCTGAATGGAATACAAAATGGAATGGAGGCATGCAACAGTAACCAAGAGAGAAACGCAGGAGTAGGTGTGGGGTCTGCATACCTATATGTGTGCACCTGTATAAACTGTAGGTAAGATCCCCATACCTCCGCTGTGGTCAGTGTCCACACCCTCCCAGCCTAAGAGCTGCAGGACTCAATGTGCTTGACTTGAGGCCGGACTCTTTCCTTCTGGGTCTGATATGGGTGGGGAGCCTCAGCTGTCGGCTGTGCATGGTTGGAAGAGAGGGAGTTGTGGTAATGGTGACCTCAGTGATGTCGATAGCAGAATAAGTTGTGTATTTTATATGTATTGTAAAGAGCAACTGTTACTAAATCATGACGGATGATAATGTGTTTAGCTTTAATGGAACGCACGGCCCTTGTTCTTTGAGATTTTCTTTTCTTTTGGCTTTGTACTATTATAAAATTAGTATAATCACATTGCTTTAGCTAGGGGAGATGCCATGGGGAAAGAGACTGATTTCTCATCTGAACATCAATGGGTCATCTTTGGCATTCAGTTTTATTTTTCAAGCTTTTCAACTCGATGTTTTGTGGTTATTCAGCTCCTGTGACCCCCCACCCCACATTCTGTTCTTTCTACTGCCACAGAGCCTGGTGGCTCCTGCTGCTTGCACTTAGGGTACTTTTCTGAACGTCATTAAGCCTTATCTCCTCTTCTGTAAAATGGAGGTATTACTGACTTCATAGAATATGAGAAATAAATGATACAATGTATTAATATAAATCTATATAAACTTCCTGATGTATTTAAAGGACTTAATCCACTGCTTGGCTCCTGGTGAAATGGAGCCAATCCATGTCTCTATGTATATTTATATCTATATACATACATGAGTATGTGCATTCAGCTGTGGGTGTGTGCATATGTGTATGTGTAGACATATATGTATAATGGTTTTTGACTTCTTTTAGAAATGAAAGCATGAGTTTTATTTCCAAGTAAATCGGCCTCCTGGGATGCCCTGGGAGTGCAGACGCCATAATTCTCACCTGGGATAATGGCTTGAGACGAAGCTAGAAGACCATAGTCAAAGAAGCCAGTGACTGCAATGCCTGTGCACCGGTAGCAGGCTCTTAACCAATGACGCTGTCGACTGGTTTTCCTTGTGGCAAGTTTTAACCTTGGAAGAATGTGTTCCTAGGAGTGGCATCTGTTAATGACATCAATGCTGCCTGTACTGCTCTTACTTTGTGATTGTAATAAACATTTTATGGGATAAAACTTGTATTTTAGTCCTTTCAGGAGAAAAGCCAAGAAATAACTTTTAAGTGAGTTTTGTTTATTTCTTAATATAAGTCACTTCAAAGCCTAAATTTAAATTTTTGGGCTTCATTCAAAATAACCATGAAGAATTAAAAAATATTTTTTAAATTGCTGTTAATCTGAAGATATTTTTAATCTCAGAAAAATCTATAGTTTGAGGTTTTCTTTGACTTTAATGCAGATGGTTCATTTCAGAATGCAAGCAGCATTTGTTTTTAGGACAAATGTCTGAGAAGTGTGTGCATTTCATTCACTTGAATTTGTTTTCAGTATGGTAGTTAGTTTATATTGACTGAATATTTTTTATTTATGTTTTAAATATATTTAAAATAGGCTATTTTTGATAATTCATGAAATATTTTTCTTTGAAGGTGATTTCAACCTTTATTTTAATACAGTCAGATTTTAAGCTTTGTAAAAATTCTTATGCTCTGAAATTTTCAGTTTAATGTCCAAATTTATGTATTTGGGCTTGGGTGTTTTGATTTCAATTATAAATCATATTATGACCAGTTCATCCATTTAAAGGCCAACTTTGTGTGTAAGAAGAAAGCCAGTTCCCAAGTCATTCTTTATGTGTTCCTGAATTTAAGATTTAAATAATTGAAGTGACTGGGCAAGAAGAAGAAATTGGATTAACCGGGGTTAATTTCTATTTTCCTGAGGCAAGTTCTGGATTATGGGAATTGCGGGTCCTGTTGAGCCTGTGAGTTCAGTAGTGTGCTATGTAGTTTATCTGCAAGCATGGTTTACAGATAACCCTTTGCTTGTCTAACCCTTTGCTCTGGGACGAAAATGCAAAAGAAACAGAATTGGAAATGTTAAAGCAGTGTTTTCTTTAGCTCACACTTTGGCACTGAGCCTGCCTCTGTAATGCTTACCATTTTTGTTTTACAGGGTGAAAGTTTTCCGTTAAACACGTAACCTTCAGGTTTGCTTTTCCCTCGGGCATTAGAGTCCTTTTTGTAGCAGTGTTTAAGATGAGACTCGTAACTAACTGTACAGCTTAACTAAGGTGATTTGCATATTAGCCGTGCCTAGCAGGACCAATCGTGTCTCCCCCTTTGGTTTATTTAGAAGACTTGCACTGTCTGCCAGATGCTGCTTCCTAACCAGTGCAGCTATGCTTCACATCAGAGAATCCATCAGCACAAATCTCCCTACACCTGCCCCGAGTGCGGGGCCATCTGCAGGTCGGTGCACTTCCAGAGCCACGTCACCAAGAACTGTCTGCACTACACACGGAGAGTTGGTTTTCGGTCAGTATGCCGTTCACTGATAACCGCACTGTGATTTGACAGGCCCGTGCACATGTGTAATTCTCGGGGTTATCTGGTGATACTGCAGCTCACGGATCCTCTGGGAACCTAGTTCATTGGTAGTTGAGTTGATCCATTTGAATCCTTCAATGCCACGTTGGCCTTGCCAATCCGTACAGATGAGGATAAGGGGTGAGGTGAATGCATGCTTGGAGCGTGGCCGTGGCCAGCAGCCTTAGCATCCTTTCCCCTCACTGTAATGTACTGTCACTCTCCTCATTTATCCTCTTCAGGAGTACTGTGCATTTCTGTACCTCTTACTACTTCCTTTCTAATAAATACAGACATGGATAGCTGTAAACCACACAGCAGGGTCCGGTGAACAGCCTTTACTGATAGCCATCTTTGGAGTTTCCCCTCCCCCACAGTTCCAGCCTCTTCATCTTTACGCCGGCTCTGGAGATTCCCAGATGTCTATTTTTGACATCTGGTGACTTTCATGTTCCTTTATCTAGTGTCAGGTGATGATACACTTTGTTCTCAGACTCTGCTACCTTCTTTAATATGGTCCCATCCCACTTACCTTAATCTCATGACAATCCCTCAAGGGACTGACTGTCTTGGGTGGCATGATGTCTTTGTTCTAGCAGAGGTGTCACGGTGACACATGCTTATCTTACTGTTTGGTTAGACTGTCAATGTGCAGTGGTTTTGCCCATTCCTAATTCCATCACACATTTTTGTAAAGACTGGTGTAGTTTGATGATTTTATTTTAGTTTGGTTTATGTTCTGGGATCACTAACTCCTGGGTAGCTCTGCCCAATTTTCTTTCTTTTCCATCCTCTTCCTCTTAAGATTTATTTCTTTTTATGTGTGTAGGTGTTTTGTCGACATGTATGCCTTTCCACCACATGTGTGTATTTATTGCCTGATGAGGTCAGAAGAGGAAGAGCTCAGATCCCTTAAAACTAGAGTTACAGATGGTTGTGAGCCACCATGTGGCTGCTCGGAATTGTTTTTTGGAAGAACAGCCAGTGCTCTTAACCACTGAGCCATCACTCCAGCTCCCCTCTGCTTAGTTTTCCAACTGTCTTTAATCTTACACCTTCACATTTGTGGTGCACAAATGCTTTATGGATTGAGATCTAACCTGGATTGAGAGGAAACCTTTAGTTTAGAAACCAGGTTGTCTCCTCCTCTTCCTCTTCCTCTTCCCCCCCCCCCCCCCCCTCCTCCTCCTCTTCTTCTTCTTCAATTTGCTAGATTTGCTTGTCACAAGTTGAGAAATTCATCTGTCCTCTGTGGTGCCCAGTTGCTTGGGGCAGTGACCTGCCTCCGACCCTCTGGGATGTGACAGTTAGACAGGATGGTCCATAGAGCCACACAGAACGATACTGTGGTTTGTACCACATGCTTGGGAACTGTGAGTGGATTCTGTACACGGCCAGGGAAGCAGCTGTGCAGCCTGTGCACTCGCTGGCTGATCTCTGCTGAATGCTATTTGTTCCCAGATTTCCTCTCGCTCAGAGAAACAAAGGCTAAATCTGAATGAATAGAGGACAGCCTTCTGTGCTCTGAGTTATTCCTGGGATCTTTGCTAAAACAGAAATCTTACATGTAGACTAAAAGCCTATGCCTTACTGGGGAAAGCGTTCTGTCCTTCATTTGTCCCAGGCAGATTTACTTAAATTGGGCACTTTCAAGTTTGCATTTGAAATTTTATCATTTTTATTAACTATAGATTTTCCCTACTAGACTGGAGGGTATTCAAACTATGAAAACATGTTAGAAGGTTTTGTAAATTTGCTTTTGATGCTGTGTCCTACTATGAACCCCTATGAACCTCTGGCTGTTTTGGAACTTGCTGAGTAGACTAGGCTGGCCTCATGCCTGCACTGACTCTAGAGCTGGATTATCAGTAAGCACCCCTGGGTCCACCTGTCGTATTTGCTTATTGGGAAATTTAGTTCATGCTGATTCCTTCCTCCTTCTACCCTTCTTCTCTCTGTCTCTCTCTCTCTGTCTCTCTGTCTTTCTCTGTCTCCCTCCCTCCCTCCCACCCTCCTTCCCTCCCCTTTGTTTTTGAGATTTCTCTGAGTACTCCTGGTTGTCTGAGACCTCAATCTGTATACCCCTGGCCTTGAACTCAGAGATCCTCCTGCTTCTTCCTTCTGAGTACTGAGTCTAAAGGCCTGTGCCACCATTGCCAGGCTTATGTTGACTTGTTTAGAAAATATTTAAAAACTTCCAAACATTTCCCTGCCCTCCTCCCCACCCCCCTTTTTGGTGAAGGGTCTTATATTATAGCCCAAGCTGCCTTGAAACAGTTCAGCCTGGGACTAAAAATCAGTGCCACCATGTCCAGTCAGTCCTCTTACTGTTTGAAGTAGTGAGGTAGTTGATGCTTCTTGACTGGGCTTGGCAGCCTGTTGGTTCTGCCTTGTTTCCTGCCCCGCCCCCTTGTCTCTGTAGTTAGTCATTTTTGTGTATTCTTTCAAGATTTTCTTTAGGCTCCCAACCCCACCTCTGTTCCTTCTGAGAGAGGTGCTTATCTTTTGGTCCTAATGTGTCTGTCTCGTAAATACTGACCAGCCATGTCTAGATTCTGCTTAACTTGAAGTAAATGTCAATTACAAATAAAAGTCAACTTTTCTGATTTTTTTCCTGCCTCCTGATACCTACATTTAGGAAGAGATTATTATAGGATTGTATATTGTAAACATTTTTTTAATCAAAAAATAATAGAGCTAGGTATGATGGCACTTGCCTGTCATCCCAGAACTTGTGAGGCCGATGTTTAGTAACAATAAGGGGGTCTCTGAAATCCTCATTGTTGGCCTCTCTTGCCCTGGACCTAGCCTGTCCTTTCTCTTCCCTTTGTTTTCCTTGGGCTCTGTGGTACCTTTTAGACCGTCCGAGTCCCTGTCACTTCTGCTGCCAACTCAAAACCATATTTTACTTCGCTTGTGCCTATGAAGCTTTCTCTTGTGCCAAGTAGCTCTGGGGCATTTGGAGCATCCATTCATGTCTCTTTGCTCCTTTTTGTCTTGATCTTTTGCTTTAAATGCAATCTAGTCCTGTGTTTGATGGGAAGATGCGTGTGCCTATGATACAGCATTCAGATGGCACTGGAGCAGGTGGAAACATCAGCCCCACCTCAGGTTCTAGCATATCTGTCTGTGGTCACACAGTCCTGGATGTGCTTGGTTTCATCTGTGGGCCTCCTCCCCGAGGCCAGGAATCCAGATCTTGCAGTAAGTACCCTGACCCCTGTAGTCGCTAGCTTTTAGGGGAAGGTGGCTAGAAATGATCTGCTCAGTTCTTATTTTACAGATAAGTAACTGCAGACAGGCACATGGACTTGTTCAGGACAATATGTAAGGTGACACAGAAGTATTTCAGTATGTTTGGTTGATTCTGTGTTGAGAGCAGTACTTCTGATAAGATAGTGGAGCTTTCTTGTTTTCCTCTTGTACAGTGTTTTATTTTTTTTTTTTTTTGTATTGCTGTACACTGTGCCCTAAGACAGTGAAACTGCAAGGCTGTAGTAGTTTAATCCCAGCATGTGGAAGGCAGAGGCAGGCGGATCCTGAGTTTGAGGGCAGCCCCGTCTACAGAGTAAGTTCTAGGACAGCCAGGGTTACACAGAGAAACCTTGTCTTAAAACTAACTAACTAATCAAACAAAAAAACTCCAAAATCCATAAACAAGGAAACTGAGAACACCCTGTGATTTTTCTAAAAATGTCTGCAAAGCCTTCTACTCTCTGCTCTATAGAACAAGCCCTCTGTGTCGTTACAGGAGATATCCCCATGGGTCTGTGTGCCTCTAAGCCGGAAGGGTAGAAGTGTCTGGCATGGTGTACCAGAGGGCAGGCCCTGCCAACACATTGCTTTCTTAGGTGGCTTGCATATGTATGACTAGGAACGTGTTTGTCCTAGTCACACAAGAGGCATGTTCTCTCAGATAGTTCCCAAGAGCTGTGGTGAACATTCTTAAGTTTCCATATGTGAAGCAAGAAGACTCCATGATCAAATGGAGGTGTTACCAGTATTGCTGAGAGTCCTTGTGCAGAGATGTGTGGGTTGGGTGGGTGGGGTATTTTAGTTTTGAGGTTTGTTTCTGTGGGGCTAGATTTTAACAGGGAGTGAGCTGATTGTCATACTCAGAAATTCAGAAGCCCGCAGCCCATTGTTTCAGAGATGCTGACTCTATGGAAGATGGAATTTAAAGGCCAAATATGAACACAGTCAGTTTTGTTTTCTAGCAGACAAAACCAGTGGCTGACTTTTACCACCCTCTGGGTCACTACCCTCTGGGTCACTATGCAGTGCAGGTCTAAGACACATTGACCACATCATTGTGTACCAGGAGACTGTGGGTCATGCCCTCTTCGTGTACCCCTCTTTGTCCCTCTGTTGAGAGTGTGTAGGTGCAGATTTGAAGGCCTCTGCCATTGGAAAGGTCTTTTGTATGGCACTAGAACAGGTGGTAGCATCAGGCTCTAGAGTCAGTCCAGCACATGAGTGTCCTTCCCTAATCTAGGATTCCCACAATCCTGCTGTGTCCTCTGGTCCTGATCTGGCCCTCATGGACAGTTAGCCTCACTACACACACACACACACACACTCTTACACTCTCCCTCTCTCTCTCTTCAAAATGTTAAAGATGCTCCAAACACTGACCATTTGTACTTGGTGATCTACACTCTTAAACACAGAATTGTCTTTACTGTGTTGCAAATGGAAAAGGCAAAGTACTTTCCAAAAGCCAGGAGAAACCTCTGTGGGCTATGAGATATGTTCATGTCACCCTGTTGACACAGTGACGTCCCTCTTGGTGTTCAGTGGTCTGTGCTAATGACAGTGTTGTTTCTCTAACAGATGTGTACATTGCAATGTTGTGTACTCTGATGTGGCCGCACTGAAGTCTCACATTCAAGGCTCTCACTGTGAAGTCTTCTACAAGTGCCCTATCTGTCCAATGGCGTTTAAGTCTGCCCCAAGTACACATTCCCACGCCTACACGCAGCATCCTGGCGTCAAGATAGGAGAACCAAAGTAAGTCACCCCATGGCTGAGTTTTCCTCTGCTGCTCTAGTGCTCATTTAGAGGAGGTTGTCATTGTAGCAAATACAATTTAAAATCTGGACATTTGTCGGCTATGTTAACTGTGATGTGTGAACTTCTGCTCGTAGCTCAGCAAGTCATTCTACCTTTTCGAGGGAAGGTCTTTGTCCCAAAATGTCACTGGTTATTTATGCTTTCAGCATCAGTTTTCGCTTATTCTTTTTTTTTTTTTTTGGTTTTTCGAGACAGGGTTTCTCTGAGTAGCCCTGGCTGTCCTGGAACTCACTCTGTAGACCAGGCTAGCCTCGAACTCTCGAACTCAGAAATCCGCCTGCCTCTGCCTCCCAAGTGCTGGGATTAAAGGCGTGCGCCACCACCGCCCGGCCAGTTTTCGCTTATTCTTAAGATGATTTTTTAGCAAGTAAGTTTTAGGAAAATTATAAAGTACAGAAGCAGAAAACCCAAACTGTCATGTTCCATGTAGTCTGTCTATTGTACTATACGTCTTTCCTAGCGGTATTCAAAAGGCGAAGGCAGCTGGAGATACTAGTGACTGAAGTTAACTTTATAGCTATAACAGGTCATTGATTAGTGGAAGTAAATTTGATTTTACTTAATGTTGTTTTTGCTTTAGGGCTGTTGAACAGACAGGTCTACCTGCTTGTCTGCTGCAGGGGCCAGTCAGTGAAGGGGAGGGGAGGGGAAGGGAGGAGTGTGGGCACAGGGGCAGGCCCGTGCTCCACCATCTGCCACTTGTGTGGCCTGGGACCGTTATCTGTGTCAACTTCTCCTGTAAGTGCCAGGTCAGCTATGCCCCATGGTCTGGGAGATTAGAATGAGGTGACATAGTTGAAGTTTGTAGCCCGAGATGCCTGTGTGGGTGTGGGGGAGCTCTGTAAGCATTTGCTCACTTGCTCATGGTGTGTGCACACAGTGTGCTTGGTGATGTTCAGTTTATTTCGGGGTTCATTATGGCCGTATGACTATGAGAGGTTAGGTTAGCTGTGCCAGTATTTTGGTGCATTTTTCTGTGTAACTCCATTATCAAAGATCCACAAGGGAAAGAGATGTAGATAATGCAATATAATACCTGTACTTCTTTATGCGTGTGTGTTTGTGTGTAAGTGTGTGTGTGAGAGTGTGTGTTGTGTGTGTGCGTATTGTCCAGGTTTTCTTTTTAATTTTGGGGAAATATTATTAGATATGTACAAATGACTGTTAGTAAAACAGTGTTAAGATCTATTTATTCACGCTGGGCGGTGGTGGCGCACGCCTTTAATCCCAGCACTTGGGAGGCAGAGGCAGGCAGATTTCTGAGTTCGAGGCCAGCCTGGTCTACAGAGTGAGTTCAGGACAGCCAGGGCTATACAGAGAAACCCTGTCTCGAAAAACAAAACAAAACAAAACCAAACCAAACCAAAAAAAAACCCAAAGATCTATTTATTCAAATTGGTCTTTCTCCTGATGTTTTCTGTATTGATCCTCAAAGGAGGCAAGTTGCACAATTAGGGGATTCACATTTCACTGGATGTCTTTTTTTTTTTTTTTTTTCCGAGACAGGGTTTTTCTGTGTAGCCCTGGCTGTCCTGGAACTCACTCTGTAGACCAGGCTGGCCTCGAACTCAGAAATCCGCCTGCCTCTGCCTCCCAAGTGCTGGGATGAAAGGCGTGCGCCACCACCGCCCGGCTAGGATAGTAGCTTATTAAGTTAGAGCAATATTGCTAAAATTTGAGCACAGTAGGTCTAGAATTTTTATAGCTTTACTTAAAGGGAGATTTTACAGGGTGCAATATTCCCTGCCCTTATTCACAATTCCCCTGCCCTTTATTCACAATTTAAACTTCTATAATTTCTGTTAACCAAGATCAGCTATGGACTAAAATTATTAAGTGCAAAACTATTTGTAGGTTCTAAATTATCCTCTGGTCTAGATCACAGGGTCTCTTCCTGTCCTGCTTCATCACAACATGAACACCCCCTTGTCCACATGTCCATGCTCTGTACGCTCTATATGCCGCCTGCCTGTCAGCCTTAGTAGGTAGCTTGGTGAGGGTGGTGCCAGCACTGCCCAAGAGAAGCAGTAGACCGCTCCCTTTAAGGAAAGAAGTTACAGTCCTAGACCTTCGTAAAGAAACACCATGTGCTGAAGTCTATGCTAAGAGCAAACGAGCCAATGTTCTCCCCAGAATCACTGGATGGGGAAAGTGAAGTCAGTGCTAATTATCTGTCACCCCCAATGAGGAGAAGTGACAGGGAAGCCTGTGTGTGCTGTTGAGATGGAGAAGCCATCTGATTAGAGTGTGCAGTGTCTCTGTGGTTCTGGACCACATTGAGGAATTAGGAATTAGGAATTCAGAAGAAGGAAACTGCATAGGAAAATATTACTTTGATTTTCTTTTTCTTTCCCCCCTTTTGGGGACAGGATTGAACTGCATGGCCCAGGTTGACCTCCAGCTCAATGTCCTCCCACCTCAGCCCCCAGCAGTGCTAGATCATAGGCGTGTGACACTGCTCTGAGCCAGCTGTGTTTTTATATATTCTTTAAGTTTTTTTATTTTTTTTTTTACTCTCAGGTTTCTTTATAAGCAAATACCTAACACAGGCATAAGCTACTATGTTTTAAATTTTAAAATAAAAATGGCATACCGATGAAATGAAAGACAGAAGCCCTGGACCAGTGTGGCTGTGTGTCAGCCAGTGCATCTGTGTGTCAGCAGCGCTAGCTTGTGCTTGCCCCATCCTTGCTCCTCCACTCTTGGCTGAGTCCAGCCCTGCCCTCAGCTGGCTCCAGTGGGTGCTGCTTTAACTCTGTAGGTTCTTCAGGCCTGAGGTACTGTGCCTGAGGTACTGGCCTCCTTGCTACCTCGCCCATTCAAGCTAATGTAAAACTACTTGTCCTGTGACCATTTTGGGGTCATTTGGAATTAACTAAAAACAAGCCAGTGGTCTTCGAATGAGAGCACCTTCCGGTGCTGACCTCTCGCAGCAGTGCTTGGATGGCTGTGGTTATGCAGCCGACTCAGACTTACCCAAGTGACTTCTTCAGTTTCTCATCAGCTACTATCCACCTCACTTCCATTCCTGTACTGAGCATGTAGCTGTCTGAGCATAGATCAAAAGTCCAGCAGCTTTAGACCTCAGCTTGCAAAGTACTGTGTCCTAGATACCACCGTAAGCACTGTGATTCTTGTTTTCTAGGATGTGAGTGCACATATTTTCCCTGCTGTCCAAAAGGGCACTTTGAATCCTATTTAATGATTGCTGGCTAATTTATGTCATTTTGAGCATGCATGCGGCAGGCTGAAATGATAGTTTCTAAGTTGAGAGCTGTATAAGAGGCAGATTTGGAGCAAGCTCCTGAGAAATAAAGCCTACAATGTTGCTCTGTTAGCATGGTCGAGGACCCCTAGGTCTCGGGGGGAAAAGGCCTTGGCACTGGGATTAATTAATTAATACATCAAACAAATGTCCTCATGACTGACCCACATGGGACCTGAAGGTAGTGTTCTTCAGCTCGACAGGGTTATGAGAACCAGCTACACTGTAGAGAGCAGTGCTTCCTGCCTACTGGGATTTAATCAGCAGCTCCCATTCGCAGTTCCAGGGCTCAGAGCCCCCAGTTTATTTGATTTTGTTTCCCACACATGTCCAGCAGTGTCTGGAGAGCTGGGGCTGCAGTACATTTTGGTACCCACCCCACCCCGCCTCCACCAGCAATGGTCTGGTTATCTAGCTGCTTGTGTCATACTCAGGATTTAGAAGTGCTTCTCCAGCCCTTCCCAGTGCTGCATTACGCTTCCCCACAACAGACACAGTACCGTGTACCCCAGGTCCCTCCAGGTTGCTGATCTCTGCCTTTGCATGGAGGGGTTGCCTCTCCCACCTCCAGTTTGGAAAACCTCCCCCTTTCTCTTGCCACAGACTTTTTTTCCTGAGACTTTCCCATTGCCGTCAAGCAGTTTGCTCTGTGTTTATGATTTGTCCTTTCAAAGCATACTTGTAAGCATGTGTTCCTTTTGTTATTTGCTGTTTCTAGTAGCAGCAGTAGTCACTGCAGCTTTTAATGGTTCTTGTTCCACAGAAATGGTGGCAGTACTGAGAACTGGGTACTGAGACAGTTCTGAGAACCCTTCCTCCAGAGTCCCTGCTTTTGTCCCTGGTCCAGCCCAGCATGCTCACATCTCAGTCTGCCTTTCATCCTTGGGTGAAACAGGACATCATGACCTGTTACTTCAGTATGTTCTTCCCTTTATAAAATCAGCTCATAAAAGTCATCAGCCCACAGCCCCTATTCAGGATGCCGGTGATTACCATGGCAGCTCGTTCAGAGCTTTGCAGCTGCCAGACTGTGTCCTTTTCCTTCTTTCCAAGATCCTGACCAGGGCGTGCCTTTTGGATTTACTGTCTTGTCTCTGTCCTTCCTCCAGAACAGGAGGAACACTACCTGCCCTGCACCCTGAACCCCCAAAGGAAGGCTTTTCATCTTTGGATGACCTTTCCTGTCTGGTCCTGCTTTCTCAGAGTCAAGCTGGCTCTCAACATCGGGGATCTCACAGAATGAGGCCACACAACTTCTAGTGGGTCAACAATGGATGCTCTGCCAGGGGCCACCTCTCTGATAGTGAGAGTCACCTTTTGCTGAGCTTGATTGGCCAGCTCTTCTCCTTTTGCTTTTCTTGCCACTGTGTGTTTGTTTTTGCTTTTTGAGTTGAGCTCTCGCTGTGTGGCCAGGATAGCCTGGAACTCACGTCTTTCTGCCTTTGCTGGGATTGTAGAAACACACCAATGCCCCTGGCTCATTAGTGCTTCATGGAGAGGAAGTCTTTTGATAATATACCAACAACTCATTCCTCCACTTCTTCAAAAGGATGCTAAATAACTGTCGTATGATTTCATATCTTCCCTCAAGAAAATGAGAGCCGTGCCTGTTATTGTTTTTTAAGATTTATTTTTAGCTCTGTGTGCGTGTGTGTGTGTTCACATGTGTGTAGGAAACCAGAGATTCCCCTGAGCTGGAGTTATAGGCTGCTGTGAGCAACCTGACATGGGACCATGCTGGGACTGAACTTGGATCCTCTCCAAGTGCATACTCATGCATACTCATAACAAGCCATCGCTACATCCCAATTCTTTCTCTTCTCAAATGCTTGTATCTTGATTATAGAGAATCCATAAAATAAAACTGAGCAGAGGAGTAGAGCATGTGCACATACTGTCATCCCTAGAGGCAGTGATGATTCTGCTTTCTAATTCTTTTTTTTTTTTTTTTAAAGGTTTTTTCGAGACAGGGTTTCTCTGTGTAGCCCTGGCTGTCCTGGAACTCTGTAGACCTGGTTGCTCTGTAGACCAGGCTGGCCTCAAACTCAGAAATCCACCTGCCTCTGCCTCCCAAGTGCAGGGATTAAAGGCATGTGCCACCACTGCCCGGCTACTAATTCTTTACCGTGTAAGAAATGTGATCATTGGGCTAGAGAGATGCCTCTAAGTTTAGAACACTTCCTGCTCTTCCAGAGGACCTGAGTTCAGCACTCATGTCTGGGGCTCCTGATGGCATGTAATTCTAACTCTCAGGGATCCAAACTGATCTCCAAGGACACACACAATATGTGTCATATATGTACACATGTGGCATACATACACACACACAGACACTAAAACAAATCATTAATAAGGAGGATATGTATACATATAATATATAGCCTTGTTTTAATTTTCCTGAAATCTTTATAAGCAATTTCTTTCAAAAATATCCTCTATGTGATGGTTTGTTTCATTGGACATTGAGGCTCTGCACATTAAGCAAACAGTAAAGAAATGAGCATCCTTGGATACCTGTTGCTGTGAGGGTGAAATATCACAGGTGACCAGCACTGGGCTGTGTTAGGAAAGCCTGCCGGGAATGAGCTGGGTTTTTTTTTGTTTTTTTTTTTTTTTTCCATCTGTATGGTGAAAAGTGACTGCTTTGGCAAGACCTTAGAGAAACATGTGGTCTTCTGGTTACATTTCAAAGTCTTCTGTGAGAAAAGACAGTTAAAACTGTAGTTGTAAAAGAAATTATTTATATTATCATTATCACCACTACCACCGTCATTATCATAGACATAGTCTTTCTAATTAGCCCTGACCAGGGTGATATTTTCTATATACTGGGCTGGCCTTGAACTCATAGCAACTCTTCTGCTTCATCTTTCAAGTGTTGGGAATCTAGACATCCACCACCATGCTGGGCTTAATTGGCGGTTTGTAACAGCATTGTCCAGTAGAGAATGAAGCTGTGTGAGGAGCTTTCATGAGAACACACTGGAGAAATCCAGATGGGCTTGTGGGTCTCCTTTCTCTAGCTTTGCTGCGCACCTGACCCCCTCTCCTCCCCCAGCCCCCGCCGTTCTCTTCAGCCAGTTACTTCCCTTTCTTTTCTCAGCTTCTCTAGACTCTTCCTGCCTGTTCCACAGTCCTTCAAAGGAGCCGTGTTTCACAGACCCTCCTTAAGGGGTGCTGTGTCCCAGCTGCACACAGGGGAAGTGTTGCACACACACCCCAGTCCCACCAAACACCCATACTGGAGCTTTGAGCTTCAGGAGAGATCGAATTGGGTAGAAGAGATTTGCTTAGAAGATTTCAATCTGCTAAATACTAATTTAAGGAGGTAGATTGGGATGATGCATTAGGTATGGAAATATTGTCTACTGTGTGGATACTGTAAACCATTTTTAAGAAGCATTGGGTTTTCCTATGGTGTGTGTGTTTTTTGTGTTTTTATCTCTGTAATTGTACACTGGCGTTAAAATTGGTATAGAAAGGATGGTATTCAAGTGGAAAATTGCTAATTTTTTTTTTTTTAAAGATTTATTTATTTATTTTATTATGAGTACACTGTAGCTGTCTTCGGACACACCAGAAGAGGGCATCCAATCTCACTATGGATGGTTGTGAGCCACCATGTGGTTGCTGGGATTTGAACTCTGGACCTCTGGAAGAGCAGTCAGTGCTCTTAACCGCTGAGCCATCTCTCCAGCCCCCGGAAAATTGCTAATTTTAATGTACACTCAGAACAGGCTATGCAGGTATTAGAGTTTGGCTGTCTTTAGTTCATCAATCAGATTATATTTCTAGTTAGGGACCACCATTGAACTAGATTGGTTTGTTCAACCTCACCAAAAAAAATCACTCCACAGTCTTTCTTGGGTTAGGATGCACTGTTCAGTTGTATTGTCCTTTTCATTCTTTTTAAAAGAAAGAAAGGAATGGGGGGGGGGAGAGAGAGAGAGAGAAAGAGAGAGAGAGAGAGAGAGAGATTGATTGTGATATTTCTTGCTGTGTGTTACAGTACTGGAAGGTTCTGTACAAACGTGCCCATTGCAGCATGATTAAGGTTTCTAAACAAATGTTGCCGAGTATGTCTTAGAACCAAAGACTTACCTGTGATTTAGCAATGTTGACTGTCTTGAAAAGCTTGCACCACAGCTAAAATGTTCTCGTTTGTCCCCTCTCAATGGCTTCTACCTCCTGAGTTCCTTAGATGCTAAGTCGTAGCTTTGCCGTGAGACGAGGCTGGCTGACTGACTGTATTTCGCTGCGCTTCTTCTGTTCTAGAATAATCTATAAGTGTTCCATGTGCGACACTGTGTTCACCCTGCAAACCTTGCTGTATCGCCACTTTGACCAGCACATTGAAAACCAGAAGGTGTCTGTTTTCAAGTGTCCAGACTGTTCTCTTTTATATGCCCAGAAGCAACTTATGATGGACCATATCAAGGTGTGTGTGCGCGTCCCTCCTCCCGTCTAAGTGAATCGCAGATTCATGCATGGCTGTAGGCCCTGGCTGAGCTGCAGATTTCTGTAGAGCATGCTGCTATCTAGGGAAAGAGATGGATACTGACCCATTGCCACATGCTGTCTTCATGTTCAGTTGGTGCTTTGGGGTGCTGTTACTCAGGAGTCTTGCTTTCTCCCAGAGACTGCTGAAAAGGAACAGGTGTGCATGCTCTGGTTTAAAAGAATAAAATAAAGTTATTAGGGCTCTCTGTATGTACATGAAACTGACGACTGTGAAGTTTTCTTTAAAAAAAAAGAAGTTTATTTTTGTTTTAATTATGTGTATATGTCTGTGTGTGGGTATGTGCATGTGGGTTCAAATACCCTTGGAGGCAGAGGTCAGACTCTCCTGGAGTTGGAACAGGCTATGGCGTGGGTGCTGGGAATGAACTCGGTCTTCTGCAGGTGCAATATGTGCCTTTGACTGCTGGGCTATCTCTTCAGCTTTTGTAGTTGTCTGTTTTGAGAACTCTGTCATACGAGATTAAGAAATAGGAATTTTGATGAATTATGCTAATTCATATAAATATTGATACATTCAGAAAAATTGGGTTCCCCCTTGAAATTATATAAGCATTTAACTTTTTATTGTATTTGATACCCTTTAGTCTTTCGTGTTTTTTTCTCCCTATAAAAATAGCATATAATTCAGTTATGATGGCACATACTTTAAATTGGAGGCAGAGGCAGAGGCAGGAGGATCTCTGTGAGTTGAAGGCCAGCCTGGTTTACATGGCAGGTTCTAGGCTGGCCCTGCATATTTTACCTTATCTCATTTTACTGTTATATTATGTATATGAGTTTTTGCCTGTGTGTGATGTATGTGCACTGTATCCAAGCCTGGTACCTTCTGAGGTCAGAAGAGGGCATCTGTTTCCCTGTAACTGGACTTATGGATAGTTGTGAGCCACCATATGGGTGCTAGCAACCAAACTCTCTGCAAGAGAGTAGTAAGTGTTCTTACTCACTGAGTTGATGGTAAACATTTAGGGTCGACTAGGTGTTGAACATGCTGTGGTGTTTAGTGTAAAGGCTTTGTTTGGATTCTCTTGGTTCCACCCCATCAAGAGGCACCAAGCTCCACTTTCAGCCTCAAAGGCTCCTACATAGTTATAGCTTGCTTGCTTTTTTTGAGACAGAGTCTTACTAGGAAAGGCTAGGTTGCCTACCACGTAATCCATATTGGCTTTGATTTTCTGGAAATCTTACTGCTTCTGCCTCCTGAGTGATGATCTTGAAGGCTGGGGCCACTGCCAGTCAGATCTGGCTTCTTACTTTTCCCTGTCAAGGGGAGGCAGGCAGGGAGAGGAAATTGCCTCTCACAAGACTTCTGAGCTTCGGTTTCTGGAACTTAATCTTGGCATCAGGAAGTAGTTAGTATCTGTAGGAGGCAGGTGTGGGTCCCCTTGTGATAGTGACCATGGGTGATCGAGATGGAGGAAGGGGGATCGAACCCTGTGGCTGCAGGAGGACTGGATTGGTTTTAGTTACCTGAACTTACTGGCCTGTGTGATAAGAAGACAATGGGACTGGTTTTATTTTCAGTACATCCTGTTGTCCTAAACTCCTGTTACTATGCTTGGTAAGAATAAATACAATGTTTTAGAGGCGTGTTTATGTTTAAAGTGATGCATCTCTTGTTCCATGTTTAGCTTGCCCGATGCCTGTAATGCCCAGTGATGTGATCATGAAGCAGAACTGGAGTAGGGGCAGGGGGGAAGGTGGTCTCGGCCCTCCTCTCTCTCCCCACCCCCTCTGTCAGTCTCTCTCTTCTGTTCTCACATTTATTCATTCCGTCTGTCTGTCCTCTCTCCCCCTCGCTCTCTTTTGTTCTCCCTCACATTTGTTCATTCTCTCTCTCTCCCTCTCCTTCTCCCTCTCCTTCCCAACCCCCCATCTGTTTCAGGTGGCCCATTTTTACTTGATTCACATCTCTGTTCTTCCAGAATCTGTGTTTATTTACCTATACTGACTTTCACATCCAGGCAAACCTTTAATATATTCTCATCCAAGTTAGCCATTACAGAGCTAAGGGAAACTCAGTCCTGAAAGAATTAAGTTGTATTACTATTATGTATTAGATGATTCTGGGGATCAAATGTAGGGTCTTGCATGTTCTAGGCACATTTGTATTCCTTTCATTAAAAAGACAGTTGATTTTAGTCTTGCTTTTACTCACAGTGAATAAGAAACACATAAATAACTTAGAGCCGTCCAGTGCTCTGCTTGTCTTGGCAGAACCCCTACTTCTTTTCCATGATTTTTGTCTATGGGTTTATTTTTTTGTCCCTGCCCCATCTTCCATTTGCGTAGAAGCTTATGGAAAATTTAAGGATTGAGACTTTGTCCCTTTCATTTTAAATATTTAGAAACGTTCAAAACTCAGGAGCTGGAGAGAGAGTGCAGTAATTAAAATGGAAGGATGACACCTGGTCTCTCCATGGACACATGTCAACCCTTGCATGCACATATGCACACATGCATGATTCCACACACACACACACACAAGTGTAAGCAGGTTAGCTATATACTGAGGCACAAACTAGGCACCTTGTGTACACACAGAAGTCTGGCATGTACATGGAAAATGAGCAGGTGTGACCGTAAGGAAACTGTCCACCCTGCTTCCCTCTGTGCAGGTGAACTTGATCAGATGTTGGTCTCTACCCCATGGGTGGGCCAGTTGACTCTGTGTGTATGGAGATCTGTTTCTTCCTGGGAAGGACAGTGTGGAAGAAGACCACTAATGCTGGTGCTGTTTAGAAAGCATCTGGGGGTAGGGGTGGGGAGCAGAATGACGCCATCCTTGACTGCTCTGGGGTAACCAAGCCTTTCATAGAGCTAGTCTCTGTGACCGTGGGGACTCAGGTGGCAGAGATCCTGAACAGATAAGCTGTATCTCAAGGCACAGGCTTGCTGCCTTTAGTACAGAGCCAACAAAAATCAAAGTGAGCCAGTCTTTAGAATCAACTACATCAATTGGGTCTGGTGGTACTGGCTCAAACCTCAGCTACTGGGTTCGTAAGTTCAAAGCTTGCCTGAGTGTAGAGCAAGTACAAGGCCAGCTTCGGCAACTTGATAAAACTGTCTCAAAATAAAAGGTGGGAAGCTGCATATGTCACATGGAGTGCTTGCCTGGAATGCACACAGCCTTACATTCAAGGCTTAGGACAGAAAGAGCCAAAAAAAGCTCTAATTATACTGATTTTATCACACCCACATTCAGAATCCTGTAGGTTTAAGATGGCTGCTTGTTGGCTATTGTATTAATGTTAATATACAACTACTCGATTTTAAAAGGCTTTTTGAGTACCTACTGGGCATACTCAGAGAGGCTGTGCACTCCTAGTAAAGGTGGGTCAGGAGGTAAGAGCTACCCCCAAGCCCTGACGGTACTTGTACCCAAAGGTTCCAAGAATATGGAAAGCAGCATGTCTTGCTGGATCGTGGGCCTTGAATACTTCTGCACATTAGTCTATTTAAACAGTTCTGCAAGCGGGAAGGTGATGCTCTCTCCAGAAATGGTCTGCCACGCAGGGAGGGAGAGCCAGGATGGTTCAGGACAAATGGTACTGATGGATAAGCCTTAGAAAAGTATTAGGAACTATGGTCAGTATGATGGCTCAGTGGGTTCAGACACCTGATGAGCCAAGTTTGATCTCCAGGACCGTCCTGAATGGTGGAATGACACTCAACTCCTGCTAGACACCTGGTCTCCACATGCACATGCACCGTGGCGTGTGTGCGTCCACACACATATGAACAGAATACATGCACACATGCACC